CCCATCGGGCTTCCAACCATCGCTTTGCAAGATGCTGTATGCACGCCGAGCCTCAGCGTTCAGGAATGTATGATCTGCGACACACTCCATAATCTCGTCCATTGGACGACTCAGCAACATCCCAGTGATTTTGCCCACATAGTCCTTATCTATTGTTTCATCTTCCAGGAGATTTCGATAGATCTTTTCTCCATAGAGCTGCCTCTGCTCAGCTTCCTCTTGTTCCTTAGAGGATGTTTTTGAATCGGCAAACCACTCGCGAGACTGCCGTTCTTCCGACTTCCAGTCCCATTGACCGTCGGAACCTTGGTACCATTGACCAGTCTGCCATGAGCCTGTCCACCATGTACCCCAGCCGCTGTCTTTCCATTTGCGCAGCGTCGAAGAGGAGTCCTCCTCGTCCTCTTCCAAAACCAGAAAGGTGTCCAAGATTATGGTACCATCATCTTCCACTCGTTTCACTGTTCCATTGACAGTATCACCAAATTTGAACTGATGTGCGTTGTTCCCTTCTGCAGGAACCAATACATTCACATCACCATGGTCCAAAAAGGCTCCATACCCATTGATGCAGCGCACTAGACCACTGATCTCATCTCCCTCTTGATAGCAATGTTCCCCAGGTGATTCCAAGGCTCCCGCTCGGGGCACTTTCTTTGCATGCTCTTCAGAAACCATCTCTGTATCATCGGCTCCTGGCACATCCTTTGTTTCCACCTTTGGGTCACACTGCTCGTCCTGCTCCTGCACGAGTCCCACAAGATCATCCATCTTGTGCTCCAGGGGCTCAGGACCTTCCTTTTTTCCAGCCAATGGCCTTGCCTCATCTGCTGCAGTTCGCTCGGTGTCGACTTTCGGCGAGCTTTCAGATGGCAACACTTCTCCCTTCCTGGGAGTGGACCCACCATTGGAGTCCTTTTTCAAACCTTCTGCAGCAGGCAAATTTTCTTCCACTACAGGGCTATTGGATTGGTCATCCGCGGTAGGCACATTTTCTTCCACCGCAGGCTCCTTTGGCTCCATGGTTTCCAAAAGAGAATCACCACTGTCGTTGACCACAGCTGCCGCATTGGCTCCGGTGTAGCCTTCGCCATTTCGTTCCTCGCTGCTAACTTCAGGCTGCACCAGTGCGTCCACCTGTGAACCTCCATCGTCAGCTGCTACGGAGACCTGCGCCCCATTGTTGCAGTCATCCGCGGAACGTGACACCATATGCGCCTCAACCCGTGCTTTTTCTGCACTCCAGGTACTATCTGGCACGTTGACCCGCGCTTCATTGGCGCTCCAGGCCTCATCTTCCCGATCAACCGTGTCTCCAGCAGTTTCAGAAGTTTCCTTTTTCCCTTGAGTGGCAGAATCATTGGCACCAACCGAAGAGACCTCCTCAGGCGTAACGCACGATTTTTTCCCTCCGTCATCCAAATCTCCAGGACCATCTTCCTGAACGACAGGTACCACATCCACCACTCGCTCTTCTGCAGCCGACACAGTTCCGATCTCCACATTGGGCATTTTTTCTTCTGGACCCACCGATTCCACCGCTGCCACACCCTCAGAAAGCGCCTCCATCTCTTCCCGATCCAGATGTTGAGCTTCAGCAATGTCTGCTCGGTTTCCAGAAATCCCCTCCTCATCAGGAGAACCCGAGGTCGGGGCGTCACCACCAGCCCTAGGACCGCTATCCCTGATAGTAGAGGAAAAATCTTTTTCACCTACACTATTTACACTACCCTGGAATGCCCTCGTAGACTCAGGCGTCGGAGTAGAGGATGAAGAACCCAGCGCAGCCTCCATTTCCAGCTCATTGCCCGAAGGAGACCCAACCACCTCGTCACTCTTCATCTTTTCACCTACAACCGGCAACGTCCACTTGCTTTCCTGCGTATCCAGGCAGTAGTAATATTGTCTCCCATCTTCGTGGAAGTGCCATTCCCACGTTGTCCCATCGCACGCTTTGATCAGATGCTCATCTTTCCGAAAACCATCCCTTTCAGAGACTTGACGCATCTCATCCTCTTCTTCTGACAACTGGCGCAACCTTTCAGCCTCCATCTGTAAGATCTCCTCCTCCCCCATGGCGTATTCAGCAGTTGGTGCAGCTTCAAAGCTGTCCGCACCCTTCTGTTCGTAACCGCTTCCACCACCCAGGGAACTCGCCGAGGGATCCCCTTTAATCTTGTTCAGAGGCCTCCTGGCAGCTTGCAGCACCTCTCCACTCAGATTGGTCTGAGACCCTTGGCCTACCATTCGGCCCGAAGTCGAAGTAGACGGCTGATACCCATGTTTTTGCAACACGCGTAAAACAGTCACCTCCATTTCACGGTCTATACCACCAGTCGCGTCCCAGTTCCTTTTTTCACCAGGCTTTGGCGATACAGAAACAGCACGTCCTTCAGCTTCAGCATTGCTAACCATATCCACATTGGGATTCATACCCACATTGGAGTCTTCTGCAACCAAGGCTTCTTCCAGATGTTCTTCAGCGCCAGGCATCACCTCTTCCAGCACCGCCCTTTCACCCAGAGACTCAGCTGCACCATTTCCAGCTCCACCATTCTGTCCACCATCCGAGGAAGGCTGGAGCCATCGCTTGGGAGAAGGCATTGCTTCTTGATCCCAAAAACCTTGAGAGAACACTTGACCGCAGGGAACCTAATTTGGGTTCATAACCTACGGGGGCAACCGAAAGGGAACAGGGAAAGAAACCAACCCCCAACAGTCGCCTATATAGATTTCCCAGATCGAACCAGAAACAAGAACACCCAGCCCTAAGGGGACAGGATAAGGGAGAAGGGACGGGACTACTCCAACCCGTTAAACCCAACCCCAAGCGTACGTACTTTTTCAACAAAAGCTGACGGCTCTCGGCCATCTTGAGCCATACAAGATTTCCGGGTACGTTGACCCTTCCAACTCCCAACACTAACTCCTTTCTACAATACCAGCTGCAGCTCCGCACCCTAAACCCTAAACCCTAAACCCTAAACCCTAAACCCTAAACCCTAAAGAGGGCTTTTGGGGGCTTCGGGTTGAATCAGTGAGGAGTGTAGGGATTGGGTATGGAGCATCAATGGAGGCTTATCTAGCCCCAAGGAGGATCCAAGGGGGTGGCTTCTTTCCCACCTGAAGCCTTAAACCCTAAGCCCTAAACCCTAAACCCTAAACCCTAAACACTGAAGCTTTGTGTCAACAGGGATCCTTGGCTCGCCACTCTTTCTGGCTTCGTTCACGCGCGCAAGACCTTTGGTCTAAGACCACTAGACCCTGAAGCCTGAACCCAAAGTCCCAAACCCCAAACTCTAAACCCCAACCCCAAATCCCAAGCCCCAATCCCCAACCCTAATCCCCAAACCCTAAACCCCAAACCCCAAACCCCAAACCCCAAACCCTAAACCCTAAACCCTAAACCCTAGACCCTAAGAACCCAACCCTTCCATGTGGAGTCCAGCCCGGCCCAGGTTTGTGCGCTCTACCACACCGGGGGTGCCCAGACTGATATGAGGGGAGGTTCCCAACTTAGGGTTTAGGGTTCAGGGTTTAGGGTTTAGAGGTCTCACGGTACGCCATGACGGAGTCAGGGGTTTTGCCAACTTTGGTGTACCTTTGGTGGGGACGCTGACACTTCTCGTATAACAGCTCGAGTCTTTTGAGACCTCTGTATGAAGTTCTAGAGCCTCACGGGTTGCAGGCTTTAATTTGCTTTCAGGAGATCGCGTCCTTTCTCTTGGGGGGGGATTACATAGGGTTTGGGCTTGGAGAAGAACCTTGGAACTTTAAAACTGGCTTTGAGGAGATCGTGTCCATTTTTTTTTTTTGGGGGGGGGAATTTGGGCTGGGAGACGAACCTTCGAGCTTTAAGCTTTAGTGCCCGGTCGTCCGTCCTGGCACGAATCTTGGGGAACTTCTGTACTCTAGGGTTTTGGGTTTAGGGTTTAGGGCGCCGGGGGAACGCGTTAAGCGTCGCGCCCGCTCTTGTGCTGAGAGCCTGATGGGTGCCTGCAGCCGAAGCTTTCATGGTGCCCTCAAAGGCATGGCGGCGAGGTCAACTTTCGTTCATACTTGTGGCTGCACAGTGGGCATGCCTTTTCCATGTTGAGTTTCATTGCCAAATGACCTGACACAAGGGGGGGGTCGGGGGGGGCGGGGGGGGGGGGGGGGGGGGGGGGGGGGGGGGGGGGGGGGGGGGGGGGGAGTTGCATTGGGGGCAGGGCGGCCGTCTTCTGCATGTTTTGCATACATACACCCACGCATCAAGTGCCGAGGTCGCAGCCCCTATTCTTCCAAGCCCTAAACCCTGATGCTTTGCGGCAGGGCCAAATTAGGGGCCAGAGTTCAGAGGATTGAGAGCCCAAGGCCAAAGGCGAGCAGGGCTCGAGGTTTTGGCCAACTTGAGACAGTATGCAGGTATTGGGGGTTACTATATGTACATATATATATGTACAGATAAGGTACTGCAAAGCTGGGGAAGCTCTCCTGTGTGTTTGATGAGCTTTCACTCAGGCGCAGCCGCTTGAGCGGACTGCCTCGCCATCCCCAACTGGCGATCTTCCGCAGGCGAGCCAAGGGACTGCAGGGGCGTTCATTTTGTAGGTGTTGATACAATTCCCCGTCACCTAGCAGAGCGTCTCCTCAGCAGCAGCTCATGAGATGCAGTGAAGGTGCCCCCCAGCCAAGAAAGATAGGCCTGCTATGGCATCTCGTGATAACCCAGACACTTTGCCTACAATTCGGGACCTGTCTGCAGGTGATAGGTCTTCCACGGTTTTGAGGTCGGTCGCACTTCATTCTTGTGGTACGGAATCAAAAAGCCCTGGACCCTATTCCCTAAACCGTGAACGTGCACGTTCACTTCCAACTGTTGAATCCCTGAGCTTGCAAACCAGTAGAACCCCAAGAGAAAGCTCCTTACCCTGAAACGCTACACCCGGCACGTTTCAGCGTCTTGCTCGAAGTCCTTCTCATCGCTCAAGCCCCCAAGACCGTCCGAGCCACACAAAGCCATGGAGACAGACTCGTACCTTCGCAGCATCGTAGCATGTGGCAGTGTGAGATCTTCTGCTTAAGTTTTCAGGATTCAGTCAGGGGAATAGCGACGGGCGACGTTAGGTGCGAGAGGACGTCGTTCAGTTTGAATAGCTTTAGGGTTTAGGGTTTAGGGTTTAAGAGCCACCAACGCGAAAGGCATGTCACCATCGTCCCGTACTTCACAGTGCCTGAGGGGAAGATGGAGGAGTTCAAAGCCGGATTCCCCAAGTTCTACGAGGGCACGAAAGCCGGCACGAGCGAGTGCGTCTACTACGGCTTCTGTGTCCACGAGAACAAAGTTTTTTGCAGAGAGGGCTACAAAAGCGCGGCAGGCGTGCTCGCCCATCTGAGCGACGTGAAAGAAGCTCTTGACGCGGCGATGGCAATAGTTGGCCCAAGCGGCCTGGATTTGTCGCTCATGGGACCTCCGGCAGAGCTGGAGAAGCTCAAAGAAGCCATGGGCCCTCTTGGGGCAAAATTCTGGGAGCTGGATGCGGGCAGCATGTTTCGGGGAGGCCTTGCGGAACAGGACACCCATGTTACCATCGTCCCGTACTTCACAGTGCCTGAGGGGAAGATGGAGGAGTTCAAAGCCGGATTCCCCAAGTTCTACGAGGGCACGAAAGCCGGCACGAGCGAGTGCGTCTACTACGGCTTCTGTGTCCACGAGAACAAAGTTTTTTGCAGAGAGGGCTACAAAAGCGCGGCAGGCGTGCTCGCCCATCTGAGCGACGTGAAAGAAGCTCTTGACGCGGCGATGGCAATAGTTGGCCCAAGCGGCCTGGATTTGTCAGTCATGGGACCTCCGGCAGAGCTGGAGAAGCTCAAAGAAGCCATGGGCCCTCTTGGGACAAAGTTCTGGGAACTGGACAGCGGATCGTTTTGGAAGTGATTTCTTTTGGACCTGCAGTAGCAGTAGAATTTTGCGGTGCTGTGTCAAAGCAGCATCCACGGTGACAAGCGCAGCGCCCGTCGGCAGACAGACCCCAAGCACAGAGCAGATTCCTTGTCTGCCAAAAGGGCTCCCGAACCCCTAAACCGCCCCTAAATCCGAAGCCTGCAGGCCCTAAACCCCTAAATCCGAAGCCGCAAACCCTAAAACCCCCAAGCCCCATAAACCGCCTAAACCCCCTAAACCCTGAATAACCTCCCCCAAAGCCCTCCAAGTAAGCCCGTCGCTCAAGGACGGCCGGCACGACAGGACCTGCAGCCTAAACCCTAAACCCTAAACCCTAAACCCTAAACCCTAAACCCTAAACCCTAAACCCTAAACCCTAAACCCTAAACCCTAAACCCTAAACCCTCAACCCCAAACCCTAAACCCTAAACCCTAAACCCTAAAACCCTAAAACCCTAAACCTTGCCCCATGAAACCTCAACTCCTGACCTCCCGAAGCTCCTAAAACCCCCAACGCCTGGGTTTAGGGTTTAGGGTTTAGGGTTTAGGGTTTAGGGTTTAGGGTTTAGGATTTAGGGTTTAGGGTTTAGGGTTTAGGGTTTAGGGCTCCCGAAGCCGAAAAACCAGCAACGGCACCCGGAGGTTTCTGGCGGCGGCGCGCGCCCGGAGACCCGGAGCCCACGGAGGGTGTCGGAGCTTTAGGGTTTGGTTTAGGGTTTAGGGTTTAGGGTTTAGGGTTTAGGGTTTAGGGTTTAGGGTTTAGGGTTTAGGGTTTAGGGTTTAGGGTTAGGGTTTAGGGTTTAGGGTTTAGGGTTTAGGGTTTAGGGTTTAGGGTTTAGGGTATAGGGTTTAGGGTTTAGGGTTTAGGGTTTAGGGTTCAGGGTTCAGGGATTAGGGTTTAGGGTATAGGGTTTAGGGTTTAGGGGTTAGGCTTTAGGGTGTCGGAGCTTCACGTCTCGAAGCCGAGGGCCTCAACATCCGCTCAAAAAAACCCACAGATCACCAAAAGAATGCCAAAACCCCTTCTAAACTCCAAACCCTCAACCCTCAACCCCAAACCCTCACCCCTAATACTTAAAGCCCAAGCCCTCAACCCTCAACCCTCAACCCTCAACCCTCAACCCTCAACCCTCAACCCTCAACCCTCAACCCTCAACCCTAAACCCTCAACCCTCAACCCTCAACCCTCAACCCTCAACCCTAAACCCTAAACCCTCAAGCCAAGGGGCGCCAGGCCGCGAAGAGGCCCACAAGGCTCGAAGAGTGGTGCGTGGAGGGCGGGGGCGGGGGCGAGAGGGATTTGGAGGTTTTTTGGACGTAGGGCCCATGTTCGGAAGTCCAAACCTTCGGCCCTAAACCCTTTAGGGTTTAGGGTTTAGGGTTTAGGGTTTAGGGTTAGGGTTTAGGGTTTAGGGTTTCGGGTTCAGGGTTCAGGGTTACACATATTTGCTCCCAAACTCCCGCCAAACCGAAGAAACTCGTCAAACCCCAGCCGAGCGGGATCAGGCAGGCGAGCGCCCGTCTGAACCTGAGCTGCCCCAGAATGTGGCCACGCGCTTTGTGCGATTTAGGGTTTAGGGTTTAGGGTTTAGGGTTTAGGGTTTAGGGTTTAGGGTTTAGGGTTTAGGGTTTAGGGCTTAGGGTTCGGGATTTCCAGCTGGTGAATACTTAAGAGCACGAGCCGACAGCAATGCCATACTGTGAGTGTAAGATCACCTGCCCAAACATGCCTTGCACACGTGTGATCCCAAAATAAGTATAGCTTAGGCACCCCCTCCATAAACCCTGAGCCTTGGGATCTTCCCCCTTCTACTAAGAGTCCTTAATAGGGATCCGAAGGGGACAATACTCCCCATTAAGAACTGTTCGTATAAGGGCAGGCCCCAAAATGCAAGGCCAGCAGCGCTCTTCCCCAGGACCCCACTTGGCAGAGGGCAAACCCTAAACCCTAAACCCGAAACCCTAAACCCTAAACCCTAAACCCTAAACCCTAAACCCGAAACCCGAAACCCTAAACCCTAAACCGTAAACCTTAAACCCACACCATGAATTCCGAAGGCCAAGACTCCAGAACCCGTCCTCAGGTCGTTGAGTCCTGGAGTGGCCCGGCCCGCCACGAGCAGTGGCCTTGGAACAGTTGGGGTTTAGGTGTTGAGGGTTTAGGGTTTAGGGCTAGGGTTTAGGTGTTGAGGGTTTAGGGTTTAGGGCTAGGGTTAAGTTTTTTTGAGGTTGAATGTTTCGAACACCCATGATTGCTCGAATATTTGGTAGCACGCCTCCAGCCTGAGCCCTCTCACCCTCAACCCTGCTCTCTCCTCCGCCCCATGATGTCATGGCAACCCCGTAGACCCAAATCCCGTAAAGCTGAGAAAAGCCTGAAACTCCTAAACCCCATTGAGACCCCTAGACCCAAACCTAAACCTCGCGCCTAAACCGCGAATGAGCTCCTTGGAGCAAGGTGACGGGCCGCAAAGTCTGCATGCCCCACTCAAGCCACGACCTCAGCTGAACATTGGAGCGATTTGGAGCGCTTGGGGTCTCGGGTTCATATTGAGTTTAGGATCATGGTTTAGGGTTTAGGGTTTAGGGTTTAGGATCTTCAAAGGCGCCGAAGCTATGGCAGTTACGCCGCGCTCAGAGTCCAGCCAAAGATCCACATTGTGTATGCCAGGAACCCTGACCTTAAGCCCTAAACCCTGAAGCCTAATTCCGAAGATAAGGATTATAGAGCCTTGGCGTTATAAGGGGGATCCCTTCTTGTGTAAATTACACATATCTGACCGGCTAAGCCCGAAGTACTTGCCGATCAGCTCCCAAAGGAACTGCTTGAACCCACCGGAAGCCTAACAATGTATAAGGTACCCTAAGCCCTCATACCTCAACCCTACTCCCTGAACCCTAAACCCTCAACCCAAAACCCGAAACCCTCAGCCCTTCTGCCCAGCCCTGACAACCTGTCTAAGGCCCTCGGAGAAAAGGGGCAGCCCGGCACCCCGGCCCAATCGCTGCTGGGCAGGCGGAGTGAGAGAGAGAGAGAGAGAGAGAGACACACCGAGGGAGGACGGTCTTGTGTGTGTTTTCAGTTTTGTTGGGATTTGGGGGTTTGGGATTTCGGGGTGGTGGTCGGAGGGTTTTACGGGGTTTAGGCTTTGTTGAGGGTTTGCGGGTTCTCTAATCCGAGGTTTGTGAGCCCTTAAACCCTCAGCCCGAAGCTCGAAACCCTGAGCCCTGTACATGGATCCTGCTGGCGTTTTGAGGCGAAGTCCATCCAAACCTGAAACCAGGTTTAGGAGGGTTTAGGGGGTTTAGGGTTTAGGGTTTAGGGTTTAGGGTTCAGAGTTTAGGGTTTAGGGCAAGATCCGAAGTCCCACCCTACGACACAGGGCGCGATCATCGAGAGGGTGGTCAACGTCATCAAGAAACAATCAAAAAATTCTACGAAATGTGCGGGGTACATAGATGTACATACCGACACACATATTTAAACATATCTGTGTATGTATGTGTGTAAGTATGTATGTAGACAAATAATGTAGACCCATCAGATCGAATGCCATGATAGCTTTCCATGTCCGGCCAGGCGCGCAGACGGCGGAGGCGGCATCTGCCTTTCCAGCTGCTGAGGGGTTTAGGGTTTAGGGTTTAGGGTTTAGGGTTTAGGGTTTAGGGTTCCCACAACACTTTGTCATTGTCACAGTGGGGTAACATTTTACATGTTTAAGGGCACTTAAACTCAACAAGGAATAGAAGTTTGATTTTTTCATGCTATCCCAACCATGAAATAGAACAGGGGTTCTCCTGTTGAGTGCTTCCTTGAGTAGGGTTGCAGAGTCGTGGGGGTATGTGTAGGGGTGTAGGGGACCCCTATTTTGGGAGGTACTTCTGTGTGTTGTCCGGGGTGTGTTGTGCTTTGAGGTTTACACACTTGCATGCGCCTAGACGGGACACTGCCCTAAGATCCCTGCCGATCCCCTGCGCTTCGGCGCCAGGCGCCAGGCAAATTGGGTTTAAGTTTTGAGGGCCTAAACCCTATACCAAACCCTAAACCCTAAACCCTAAACCCTAAACCCTAAACCCTAAACCCTAAACCCTAAACCCTAAACCCTAAACCCTAAACCCTAACCCTAAACCCTAAACCCTAAACCAGACACCCTAAGCCCTACACCCTAAACCCTAAACTTTTGAACACCCTAAACCCTAAACTCTAGGGGATGAAGATTTGAGCTGCCCTTTTTTCGGGAGGCGGGCCATGAAAGTACCGAGGCACAGCGCCGAGCTGTTTGGGGTTTTTTGGGGGCTTTGAAGGGTAGCATGTGGGGTTTCGGGTTTCGGGTTCAGTGTTTAAGGTTTATTTGGGGTTTAGGGTTTCGAGTTTTGGGTTTAGAATCTTAGCGTTTTGGGCTGCCAGTTTCCTGTCTTGAGTGGCGGTAGGAGTTTGCGAAGCCCCAAGACCTTGAAACCTAAACCAGGTTGCCTTTCTTCAAACCCTATGGAGCTAGAGGTCTAAAGGGCTTAGCTTTCAAAGCCCGGAGTTGCATGTCGGATTTAGGGTTTGGGGCTTCGGTTTTGCTTTTGGGGTTTGGAGTTTAGGGCGTGCCAGACGGAAACGCGCGTTGTGACCGTGCATAAGTCTGCAGACCTACCCACCCCAAAACGCCCACTTACAACTCATATTTTTTTTTTGCGAAGCAACCGGTACTTTTGTTGATGCCGGGTGTTCTTATCGTAACACACCTGCTATGAAACTCTTCACTGACGCCACCAATGAGTTGTGTCACACGGGTCGCTTGGAGCACTTGGGACACGTGGGTCACTTGGGGGTCAGGTTTGGGACGCTTGAGCCTTTAGGGGGGGACTAGGAACAATTTACCTGCTAAACCCTAAACCCTAAACCCTAAACCCTAAACCCTAAACCCTAAGCCCTAAACCCTAAACCCTAAACCCTAAACCCTAAACCCTAAACCCTAAACCCACTTGAGACACTTGGGTTGCTT